TTGAATTTTCTTTGTAATTATAGAAATTTATCAACCAATTTAGGGTTAGGCAATGAGGGTGAAGGGTGGGTATTGTTCGACCCAAACTGATTTTTTGGTTGAACAATCTAATTGGTTTATACTGGTTCAATTGCGAGCCCAAATGCTTTTATTTTTTTCGAACTACTTTGTAATTGGTTTATGTTTCAAAATCAGCTCTAAACCAATTCAAAACCGGTCTGGATATGCAAACCCATTATGAACCAGTTTTTCAAACTCGTTATTTTATTTTTGTTTATTTTTTAACTTGATTTATAAAATCAATTTGATTCTCAAAACTGTATCAAAAAAATATAATTTGGTTCGATTATTTTGCACAGCCCTAAGAAGGGGAGCCCCTGGCTAGAAACCTCCACTAAATGGGCTAAGCGACAATATAAAAGGAATGTCATAGGAGAGGCGTCGCAACATTTTTTGCCTACCATATGATGCATTATGGCATCTTGAAAAATAAAAAATATGTTGATATTTTTAGTTGCACTTCAATCACGACAAATATTCATCGTAAAATATAAAAGAAGTGCCATAGAGAGAAATTGAGGCACTAACCACCCCAAAAAATAAATTATATTTCTCCTAAACCCAAATCAAAAGTTTTTGGCTAAAATAATTTTATATGGATCGAAAAGCCTCAACACAACCCTAGCAAAATTTCTAAACAAACATACATTGAAATTAGGACTAATTTAAAACTAGAAAGTCAATGAACCCAAAACCTAAAGAATCAAGCAAGCCCTAACACTCTTTTATCTCTGCTCGAAGCTATGTCCATAATTTGAGAATGCATTTTTTCATGTTACATGGCTTCATCTAAAATAATTTTAGCAATTCAAAAACAAATAAATAGTTGTTATTAAAAGGTGAGCACATAAATCTCACCACAAAGGATCCTCCTCTTATTACATAGCTCACCATCATATACCCACAATGGTGAGACAATGCCTTACTGCAATAGTTGGTGCAATAGCTAATGGTTTTAGCTCATATTTTCTCTTTCTTATTATTAGGGAATTTTTTTCCTTATAAATAATTCCTTCCTCTCCAACAGAGGAGGCACTTGATTTCCAATACTTTTATGAGTTGTTATTTTGCTAGATTTTAGAGTCACCTTGGCCTACATATAACCTTCCTCTTCACAGTCATCTCTGCGATAGCACCATTAATGCCTATCCCTAAACTTTGGTTCATATCAGTGCTTCTTTGAGCACCTTCATATCGAGATATTACAACCTTTGAGGGATATTGACCATCTGTTAATCAAGAAAGCATTCAAATAGGGAATTATAAGAATATATGGTTAATTTATACATCAAATGTTGAGATTGTTTCGCACGAGGTCATCCACTACCTCACTATCCCACCTAAAAATCATAAGACCTCATAAAAAATTTAAGGATGAAAATAAAATTTTTGTTACAAATCAAGTGAAAAATGCAATTGTATAAGATTTGGCTAAATAATCATCGTTCGTAATTCAGAGATCGTAAACTAAAAGATGTGTTTTTTAGGATTAGGGTTGGGCCGAGATGTGCTCGAGGTTAATTGAGAGCAAAATGAACGAGGAGTAATTGTAAACAAATTGAGGACCAAATAATTACTTTAAGAGAAAATCTACCTAAGTTGTGCAAGCATATATATCAAGTAATATATGATTTCATGTGATCCCCAAATTTATCGTCTTCAGGGAACAAGTGTAAAAGTGACATTTAGAGAAATTAAAACAAGAAAATAAGAAAATTGAGAGCAAATAGAAAGTAAGGAGCAAATCTTATCAAGGATTCAAGTTATCTTAAAGTTAAGGCTCACTAAAAAGTACTCGTCTAAATATTGGGTTATCCCTTAAACTTACATAAACTTTCCTTGAAAGGACTTGGAGAATGTTGGAATTAAGAGCAACACACATAAAATAAAGGAAAATGAGAGCAACAGTCGTAAATCATTAATAAGTGTAACAGAAACATAAAATAAAAGAGAAATAAGCTTGTGGGATCTATATAATTTTTACCAAGTAACAAACAAGAGAAAAATAACGTTGATTCAAGGATAAAAAGGCGTAGGCTCTGAGTTGGTATTTTCACCTTCTTGGTCGTTCATACTATCTCATCTATTCTTAACAATAAAAATTGCTTCCAACGATCTTTCTGGCTATGAAAACAGATTAATCTGTCTTCAAGTTTTAACACCCAAAGTAGTTTGGAGCAACATGCCTTTTACACCAACTACTTTAAGAGTCCTATTAGTTGAAACTCAAGGAAGATTATGTTGCCTTCTTTTTCTCAAAAGTAAACTGAAGGGATTGCGAGCCAAAGCAGTTTACACATAACAATGCTCCTCCTTCTAAGAATTCCCGTATCTCAGAGAAAATACCTTAAAATCACTATCGGTGCTCCACACTAGCTTGAGGGAGGTTACACATCCGGGGATTGGCCTTCAATGACGTTAGCAAATAAAGGGTTTCTCACCAACAGAAATTAACTAAGAACATATTACATCATAAGTCCAACCTAAGACAAAGAGGGCTACTTGTACTTTACCCTAGCCTACTAAAAACAACTTAGCTCATGCCGTGGAGCATGATGAACTCTAATTATAGAAAATACAAGAGAAAACCAGAAAACTTGCCAAACTATGGAAGATGATGAGTCCTTTCTAAATGGTGTCAAAATGCTCCCGAAGGTAGGGTTTTCTTTAGGGTTTATAGGTGTTGATTCGCTCGTGAGCTGATCTCATCCCTTCATTTGATCAAAGGCTTAGAATTCCTCAGCTAGTCTCCGTTCAAAGGGTTGCTCCTTGACATGTCAGCCCTAAATGTTCCCTTGATCCCTTACTTTTAGCTGAAATTCAGAAGTTGAGACATTACATGTCATTGTGCGATTCGCTCTATGCGTTTGCTGACGTATCTGCTTTTAATTGATTTCTTTTTTGGTGGAGGGCAGGTTGCCTTTTAGCTACTTTTTTTGCTTTATTGTTCCCTTTGTCTTTTTTTGCTTTCTTCTTCTTCAAGTTTGTCTGAACTCTGATTGAGTTTCTTTTAAGGAAAAAATGTGTATCATTTTAAGAGAGAGAAAAGAATAGATAAAGGAGAAGAGGGAGTTGACAAAAAAAATAAAGGCATAGGTCCCACCTCTTTATGAGAGTGAAATAATATAACTTGTATCATTTAAAAGAATAAACATTTTTTCCTTCTTTTAATTGGTAATTGGATTCCCTGGAAGATATAAATCAGCGCATTAAGCCCACACATAATAAAATCAAGTTGACTTACTCCCAGTACTTTCCAATTCCAAGAATTAACAATTGCTCCAGCCCAAATTGCTATTAAAGTACTCCCGGAGACAAACATGATTAAAAACAATAAAATTTTACGGCAATCAAGAAAAATTTAACAGTAAAATGCAAGGGATAACTTCCCACTTTTGAGAGCTGTCACTTAGAATCTCTTCCAGGATTAAACATTGTTTAATTTGTTTAACCTATTTATACATAATTTTTACCCAATCTTGGCTTTAACCCCGAATTCCTTGAGTATTTGATCATGCTTACAAGATTACAAAAATGGCACAATAATCGTAAATAGCGACGTGTTCAGGGAAATTTTGTTTTCATCTGGTTCGTTTCAGACAGCTAAGTACAGGTAGTGTAGTACAGCTAAGTCTGTATTTGTAATTTATTTGGTAAATATTTGAAGTCATGGTGGTAAATTAATTCAGGTTTATGTTTATTTTATTTTACATAAAATAAATAATTTTTCTACACACAAAAAAAAATTAGGTCCCACCACTTTTTTGTCTCTCTACCCTTAGCTGTGTTTGATTCCTGCAACATGATATAACTATCTACCTACAACATAATTTCCCATTAATTCAAATACTGAACAATTATTTACCCATAAGCCATTATTACCGATGATCCTTGTTGCACTGTGACGATACATTAGTAGAGAGCGAGAGAGAGGACCCCATGTATCATATTAGAAGCCATGATTTCAAAGTCGCAGAAAAAAGGACAGTAAAAACAAATAGGAGAGCAAGAATTAGTACACAAATAATTGAGTAAACAGTTAAACAGAACAATGAAAAAGGACGGGTTGCAGAGAGCAGCATAGCTGTTGGGCGAGGAAAAGAACCATATTTTTGTTCAACTAAAAAGCTATCTTTTTAGTGGTTCAGCTTTAATGCTGAAACAGAGCTGCATGCAGAAGAAGGATGCATTATTCGGTTTCTTTTTACGAGTCAGGAACCTATTCACACTCTGTTTGTTTGGTTTGGGGACTTGGAAGCCGAGAAGAGAAGCGATGCAGCGGAGAAAATAGAATGATACTAATTGGTTCATTCATTCGCTAGGAGTTAAAGATCAAAGAAAGGGTGTGAGTAAAACAGTTGCAGAGGGAGCAGAGGAAGTTGATCTGTGACAGAGGAAGCACGTATAAATTAGGAATGACTTCACGAGTGTGTCAGATATTTTAGGACACTGAGGTATCTTTCTTTTTGAGGACACGTCGCTCCAGAAAGTAACACAAGATCGAGATTTCACTACTGTGGGGGCACTGGGGCTGTTCTCTTCTTTTCTATCTTTTTTTTTCTTTTTCCCGAGTTCCTTTTAGGGGTTCTCTTTTCGTTTTGTAACTTTTAAACTGTTTATCCTTTCAAGAATTTGATTCTACCAAGGTGGGTTATCACTTCTCTCTTATTGTGTCATTATTTTACTTAGAACTCCATTGTTTAATAGTAACTTAGTGTATATGTAGAATCACCACAATGTAACTCTATTGTATATTTTATTATTTAAATGTTGTTTGATTTTGCTTACCACACTTCCTTGCATATTCGAAAGGCATGCTTTTGTCATGTAATGTCGATTTTCACAAGGCATTTTCCTTTTGTCTTAAAAAAACTGTAACTGGGTTATTGTAGGTTTCACTTCACATTTGCACTATTCAAAGACCTCAGTAGCATTTTCCCTTACGCAGCCAATGGGGAGAGCCACAAGGTGGTTGAAGAGCTTGTTTGGCATAAAGAGAGACAGAGAGCGCAAAGAAAATTCGAATTCCGGCACCAAAAAGAGAGATTCCAGAGGCTTATGTCATAATCCAGCTACCATACCACCAAACATTTCACCCGCAGAGGCTGCTTGGCTTCAATCCTTCTACTCAGAAACAGAGAAGGAACAGAACAAGCACGCCATTGCAGTAGCTGCAGCCACGGCGGCAGCCGCAGATGCTGCAGTGGCTGCGGCTCAGGCTGCTGTGGCAGTTGTTAGGCTAACCAGCCGTGGCAGAGACACCATGTTTGGTGGTGGACGTGAGAGTTTGGCTGCTGTCAAGATTCAAATAGTATTTAAGGGATACTTGGTAAGTTTGGCTTTCTTTTAAAACAGAATTAATTGGTTTTAGTTTTGGCTAATTTAAAGGCTTTTAATTATTAGTTTCAGTTAGATATAACATGTTCAGATCAGAAATCTTGATTTGGCATGGTGCTCTTTACCTGCTTGCTGTTCTATTTGTTTTTTTTCTCGCACCGTGGAATATCAAAATTGACATGGGTTTGTGAATAGGCAAGGAAGGCATTGAAAGCCTTAAAAGGATTGGTGAAGTTACAAGCGCTTGTGAGAGGGTATTTAGTGAGGAAGCAAGCAACAGCAACTTTGCATAGTATGCAGGCTCTTATTAGAGCTCAAGCAACAGTAAGGTCTCAGAAATCTCGCGTGCTCATGACTACAAAGAATGAAGCATATAGGTTTCAGACACAAGCAAGAAGATCCATGGTACAGATCTCAGATCCTAATATTATGTAACTCGCGTAGTGTTTGCATTTTTTTGGTGATTGATGCCTAAAATAACTTGCAGGAGAGGTTTGATGACACTAGGAGTGAGAACACTGCTCCAATACACAGCAGAAGGCTAACATCCTCTTTTGATGCCACAATGACTAACACTAACAGTGTTGATGGGAGCCCCAAAATAGTGGAAGTGGACACTGGTAGGCCTAATAAGTCAAGGTCTCGCAGGAGCAACACTTCAATGTCAGATTTTGGCGATGACCCATTATTTCCTCTCCCAATTCCATGTCGTACACCTGCTAATTTATCCATACAAGATCACTGGAATTTCCATGAGTCAGATTGGGGTTTAACAGGGGAAGAATGCAGGTTCTCTACAGCACAGAGCACTCCACGCTTCACCAATTCTTGTAGTTGTGGGTCTGTTGCCCCTTCAACACCTAAAAGCGTTTCCACTGATGACTTCTTACGTGGGCAATATGGCAATTTTCCAAATTATATGGCAAACACTCAGTCTTTCAAGGCCAAATTGAGGTCTCATAGTGCTCCAAAGCAACGCCCAGAACCAGGTCCAAAGAAGAGGCTTTCCCTCAATGAGATGATGGAATCAAGGAGTAGTTTAAGTGGGGTTCGAATGCAGAGGTCTTGCTCACAGATTCAGGAAGCCATTAATTTTAAGAATGCTGTGATGGGTAAGCTTGAGAGGTCCACAGAATTTGGTAGGGAAACAGACAAAAACTTCTCCAACCAGATAAAGTGGTGATTGTGAACTCAAGAGGCATTTATGAGAGAGTTAGCTTTCTTTTGCTTTTTCACATTGTTAGTAATAGTTCTATGTCTTTCTGCACCCTATGATTGGCATTTTGCATACATATGGTGGGTGGGAAACAGGGAAGTCAAGACAAAATATAAGGAGAAAAATGAGAAGGTCCCCATTGAAATTTGGTCATGGAGTTATCTTCATATGTTTTCATTATAATCAATTGCAAGAGTATAAAGCATCATCATTGTTATATTATATGAGATTTCTGGATTAGTAAGTAAAATTTGTTGCCAAATCATTGAGAGCACGAATGCCTTGCAACAGTTAAATAGTTCAGCCTATTCAAATGTAACTATAATTAGCAATTGATAATTGGGAATTTGATTTGAGTTGATTCACTGGGGGGAATCTTTACTGTCAGACAAGTAGACAACACAGTTTACCTCTTCCTGATGCACCATCACCTACTACAATCGGACGTTTACTGCTATCTGTTTCTTCAAATATTTTTTTAATTGTTTTCAATATTGAACGGGAGCGGTGAGGTACATTTTTGTTTTTTAATTGCTTGTTCATTCATGCCACTTTAGATAATTCCAAAAATTTTGCTGTCATTTTCAAACTTTTTTCTCAAATATTTATTAACCTCTTCGCTGGAATTTTCCTTTACACAGCAGGTAAATCATTTTAAATTTAGGCAGCAATACTAACATATTTATTCAACACTTTAAATAAAATCTTGTTAGAGCGATATAAAATTATTAATGTAGCCTTAAGATTTTGAGTTAAAATAATTCTTTAGATTGTATTTGATTTGGAACGAGGAGTGGTCACATGTTCAATCATCACCACTCTTTTTTTGTGGTGGAATTGGTAAACAAAAAGAAATGAGCTTGTGTAATATTCATGTGTCAAGATACTATTACATAAAAGAGTGTGTTAAAGAAATATAAAATCATTAGTATAAACTCATTCACTACTTTAAGATTTTGGATTGACATTATTTACAAAATCTGTACAAAATTGGTTTAGAAAACATTATCAGACATAAAGTAATAATAATTAATTGATAAAATTCGAAAAATTATGGGAGTGATTGTGAACAATTAAAAACAATCTTGCACCAATAATTTGTCAACGCAATCGCTGCGATTTCACAGAAAATTAGAAGAAACAAGGGTTGTTAAGAGATTGCGCTCCTCATATAGCTGGGCCGGACTACTATCAATTTTGAGCCCATATAATCAGAGTTTGATCAAAGGAAACCCAACAAGTTAGGAAATGTTTTCTAAACCAATTTTATACATGTATTTTATCATTTTTTTTCTCGGTGAAAGGGATTTTATCATTTTAAGGTTCTAAGGAGACCCAATATGATATAAAATTTTCATGTGATAATAAATAATGAATGTTTGAATAAAAAAAAGATGCGAAATAAATATCACTAGAGATCTAGATAATAAGCAACACAATCTTTCTTTCCCTTTCTAAACTAGAGGGAAATATATTAGCTTAAAAAGTAAAATACGGTCAATGATAATAGGCACCAGATTATACCGATAAACGAAAGACAATTTTCTGCAACAGCTGTGGAAGCCTTGTCAATTCTCCTCATACAACCTTCAATTCACTATCACGATGATTCTGGTAAAGTAGCATTGTTTATAAATAAGAGTTGCGATTTCATGGTGGTTTTGTCAAGAATCAAAGTGTGATTAGTAGAATTCCATATTGGTTAAAAATTGATTAATATAAGTGGAATTACCGATAAATCTGACACATCAATATTTTAGATTATGATGTGATGTCCAATCCAATCTATATATTGTGATGAATTATCATTTAATCCATTATTAACAATTCTCCCCTATCATAAGTTCCACAACAGGTGCAGAATTTGGGCTTTTATGATTATAAAATAAGAAAGGAAGAAACAATAATATTGCAATGATGGCGTGCTATGTTGCACCGACACTGACACGGGACACGAGATACAACACGACACGACACTCCGACACGTTAATTCTAAAAAATATTAAATTTCGACACGTTTTGATATTATATAATATTTTTAATTTGTGTAGTGTATATTATATTTAATATTCAATAATTTAAAAAAAAAATAAAGCTAAACTTGTAATACCCATCAATTTTGCAAACAAAAAATAAGATATCCCAAATATTTATATTAAACTCAATAAAATAGTAATCGTAATCCAACGAATCTAATAGTTGAAACTCAAAATGCAACCCAACGTAACCTTTGAATATTTTTTGATTTTTTGCAATGAGAATTGGAGTGTCGGGAAGTGTCGGAGTGTCGGTGAGTGTCGGACACGACACGTCAAGAATTTTGAAGTGTCGGTGCTTCATAGATGGCGTGTAATGTTTCGTCATTGCCTCCCAAGCCTAGGAAGAAACATTTTTATTACTTGTTTGATTATTGTTGTATCAATTTGAAATCAACGATTAAAAAAGAGAAAAAAACTAACTCCTATTGATTTCAAATTAATCCAACGCTAACCAAACTGATAAGAAGAGTGATAAGTTTAAAATTGTGATAGCCACCTATAATATGAATATATTTCTAAGACACGAGTTGTACTCTTAACAAATAGGTAAGAAAAATTAGGCAATGCGAGTTGGTACAAGTGATTAAGGACCCACCCAGTATTGTGAAATTTTTAATATATTATCGTCATATCTACATTTGTCCAATAAAAACATAACACATGTACTGGTATGTTTTTTTAAAGAGAAAAAGAATAAGAAACTGTACATATATTTCATGGAATACATAATTTTTGTAATTTTATTAGAGTCGTATCCATTAGTGTGCGACGGTAGTATCAAGGATATTGTCCTAGTATTGAGGGTTTCTCCCCTTCCTATCACTTCCACTCCTAAAAAAAAATTACAAAAAATAAAAATAAACGTGAAGCAGCTAGGAACTGCAAGTTTGATGAGTTGTGATTCTAAATCAAGCAACAGAGATTGGGAAATCTGAAAGGAACAATCCAATTGTAATATATTTATATTTATACATCAAAATTTTGTCACCCTCGAAATTCAAGCTACTTTTCTCTCAAATCAAAAAAGAATTTTGATCCATTCAGACCCATCAATATAATTAAGTGAAATAAATGGTTTAGCTTCCTCATCGGTGAGCTCCCTTGACCATGATACTCTCCCTGCAAAGCTTGCTCCTGGTCCTGTGCACTTGTACTGACCATAGAATACAGTCCTGGTGGTGGTGTTAGTGAGTGGTGGACCCCAGAGAATACAAAAACATGGAAACAAATTAGAAATAGAAACGCACTCAAATGCGCATGCCAATATGCCTATAGCTATATAACAAATAACGATATATATAGGAGGCTCTTTTCAGACCCTCTGCCTCGTCTATATTAGCAAATAGAGACTTGTATGGACTCACTCTCCCTGCATTTACTTTCCCCTTTCTTTTAATTTTTAAAAGTGCTACTAATTTCTTAGGGTTTTCATTTTATCATTTAACATAACACAACAAACTTTCCTACACTCACAACATTTTGTGGGGCCCACACTTTTTAAAACAAAAAAATAAATAAAAAATTAAGGCACGCAAAACGAATCTCTATAACATTACACAATCACTTTTCCTACAACATAACTCTTATAAAACCCAATTTCTTATCCTTCAGAAAGTTCATTTTTCTAGCATTTTTTGTATTGGAAGGTGCATAAGCATTACACGTAGATTTGCACTATGTATACTTGTAGATGTTGCTAGAGTGGGAATGCATAAAAGGTTGGGACTCTTCTCTTCCTGGCTGCACACTACTCTAACTAGATACCCAATATGCCCTTTATTCTAATAACAAAATATAATCTTTTAGAGCAACACATTGCACTTTCGCTTAGTGATATGACACTGTTGAAATACTCTTAACCACACCATGTTTGTAATTTATTAAGTTATGGATGTAATAGTAACTACATTTACTACTTGTGGGCAACATTTTTACATATTCGTATTTACCAAGAAGGTGGGTTTAATACTCTATGCGTGTGACAATGAGAGAGATAGAGAAAGAGAAATGAACTTACATTTCACGGTTAGGATCGCCCCAGTTATACCAGCCTTTGGGAATGATGATATTATCCATGTAAGTGTAAGCAAAGACAACACGAGAAAAGGGACCCCAAGCCCTTCCAAGGTATAGTGCCCCTGAGCCCGTGACTTTACAGTGAACAAACGAGAAACCCGTGTCTTCTAATAGACTGCTCCTTCCTTGTGCTGTTAGGGCCCCAACATATTGCGCTATGGCATGCACGTGACATCCCTAATAAGTGTTACAACCTAATTAGAAGACAATGTGGGTGCTTATTCGGTTCAAAAATTTTACCAAACTATGCTCCTTACGACAAATGAATAACTAGAAGGGGAAGGTGAAGGTATCCCACGTCTATGATTGATAATCAAAACATTGTTTAAAGGATTTGTGCTTTAAAAGGACACAAGTTATATTCTTTTAGCAGTTATGTCCTTTTAGTAGTTTTAACTATGCATTTCCGTAATGGCGCAGCCAGAAAAATTGGGAAGTCAATGCCAAAGCTAGCAACTATGGAAGAAGACAACCATTTAAAGTTATTGAAGATCAAAAAAAGCTTCTGATTTTGGAAACCAGTTATTGCCAAGCCACTTGCTAGTTCCAATGTGGCTTCGCTACTGTATTCCCGGAATGTATAGTTATAATATTAAAGTTGTACTTCTTTTTGCTCTTTTCAAGAGTACGTGGAAAGTAAAAAAAATACAACTTTAATATTATAACTATGTATTCCTGAAAATGTATAGTTAAAAACTGCTAAAAGAACATAACCTTGTGTGTTTGAAAAGGATACTCATTTTCCCCTTATATAAATGATTATTTTATTTTGTTGATTTGAAAATAACTTAATGGAATGGGTTAGGGGCAGGGAATAATGTGGACAAAATTGGTTAGGTTAAACTGATATGGCTTAAATGAATATTAGAATATAGCACAGAGCCTTAGATTATTTAACAGCAATAATTCAAGATTACAGCTGTAAATCATGGAGAGAAAATCCAACCTCAAACAGAGAGAGAGCGTTGCCGAATATGAAATCAACAGAGCCTTCAATATAACAATCCTTGTAGTAATGCCTACCCACATGATCATATAGTGTGTCCTGTGCTCCTAAGAATTTGCAGCCTAGGAATATTGCTGTATCTGCTGAAATTCTTAATGCCACTGCTTGCTTTCCGACTGCTCCTGGTGCTGGAACCGGGGTAGTGTTCTGCATGCACAATATTTGCTTGTAAAAACACTGAAAGAGCAAAATTTAGATAACAGCATAGGAAGGGAACTTGTTACTTACTTTGAATGTGATGTTCTTGGCAATGAAATAAGGTGAGTTCACTGCAAATGTTGCAGAACCATAGGTTCCCAGTGGCTGGCCTCTTGGCCCAAGAGTTTGAGCAGTGTCACCCCATTGAACAATGGTTTTATCTGCGCCTGCTCCTTGTATGGTTATGAAGGATTTCAAAGGAGGAATGTTAACTTTCTCCCTGTATAATTTTTTTTTAAAAGAAAAAACACAAAAGCAAAGAGAAAATAGAGATTTCAGTCAAATGCCAAACACAATTTGTTACAGCAATAAAATTTATACAAGAAAATTTGCATATTGTGAAACAAAGGGGAAAAAAAAAAGATTAAAAAAAACGGACACGGCTAAAAGAAAGGACAATTCATTAGCTGCAAAGTCTTCTTTAGTCAAATACCAATTCTCAAAGAATTTGAATCAGAAGGAAAAAGACACAAGTTATTATCGCTTTCCAATGTATCACGAAACAAAAAAAAAACATGTAGACAGGACAAACACCAAAACCACGTCTCACATGAACAAAGCATAATTTGACAAGGCCATAAACAAAGGACACAAAGCAAAAGGACCAGAATGCATGTGGCAGATTTCAAATGCAATAACAAGAAATATAATAAGTAGTACTTACGTGTAAACCCCTGCATGAACCTTAATGACCGCTCTTACTAGATTGATGAATGGAAGAGAATCAATGGCTTCTTGAATTGATGAAAAACCTGCTTTACCCGGGTTCTTAGAAACATGCAAATTGTAAGAAGGAAAAAGCTTATTCTTGGCTGTCCCAAAGACAGTGTGTCTGAGGCCACCTACAAATCTCACCCATTTCATGAATTGTTGTTCTGAAAATTGGACTCGGGTCATATTGGTCAATGTCACGTTCCCTTCAGAACCCCTTGGTCGAAGACGAATTCCCTTGGTATGGCATCGTGTCGCATTTGGATTTTGCAGAAAAAGAAGAACTACTAGAACATAGAAAATAGAATGCAAATTTGACATTCTCACATAGAATGTGAGCAAAAGAATAAGGTGGGCTATGTAAATTGGCTTGTGGCATGGTTTATATACAAGTTAGTCATTACTTCTTTATAGCTAGGTGGGACTGGAAAGTGAAGCTGGATCAGAGAATCAATGACAGATAAAGAGGTCACGGGTGCTTCTACTGACATACATGTAGAAACACACACACTTAGAGAGAGAGAGAGAGAGAGAGGGAGAGAGAGAGATGAACAATCGAAACCACAGGACAGGTTGCACTTTTTGCTTATAAAATCGTTCACTTTAAGATTTATTTTTTTGTTCACTTTTCCTTTGTTTTTGTTGTTTGTTTGGTGCTGCCCGTGAGAAAATATTCTTGTTGAGATAACGGATGAGGTTGGGTCGTGCTCCTATGAATAACATAATATGTAAAACATATATTACTCCGCTCGAACTTTTTTGAAGCTGCATGCTGATAGCACCAACCTTGAATCATGACCGTCCAATAGTTGGACCATCATTTATATAATAAGGTTCTTGTTGTTTAGTTGATTATTCCTATTTGAGCACTTTTAATGGTTGAGATTGATTCCCAATTCTGAATTCCAACTAATTGGTGAATCAGAGGAGCCCAAGAAGGACTTGGCAGAAGTAGCAAAACAATGCTGAGGCCATAAGAAATAACTTCAATGATGTGAAATATATCATAATAAGGCATCAATGACCACTAACCAGTACTCGTTTGCGTTTTGGAGGACTATCAATTTCCCTCCTATTGCTTTCTTTTTGTTGTAAAGAAAGTACTACTTGTCTTTTTGGTAGATTCTTAACTTTATCTTTAGTCCCACTACCATCAGTTGAGTGCCTTACTTCATTTATGATAGGATGATGATTGTTGCATACAATATTTGCAAGAGTACTAAAATTCAAATTGAAGTGTTATTTTGTTACTTATAAAACAATGGAGAGATTAGAGAATATGAGAGAGAAAAAATTGTACTTATTACTATGATCTGAAAAGCAAATTATATTCGTACTAGCAGTGCCTTCATTCTTCAATGAATGTCATGAGCTTGGAACTTAAAAATAGTTTAAAGTTCTTTAAGAAATAATACAGTGCAAAGTTGATAGAAATTTTCAGGGCCTCCGAATTAATCTTAAGTTTTAAAAAGAAAAGGAATTGAAGTGTTACTTGTTGATTGAAGGGCCCACTAATTATTAAGAGACAACTAATATAATGATCCGTGAATGCGTATTATGCATCAGTCCAAAAAAATTCCAATCACAAGGTCAATTACATCATCTGTACAGGGAACATTTTTTAATACTACGAGTGTATCAAACTCAGTATACCAGTTTACTAAAATGGGTAAAAAATAAAATTCTTTTAATTTTTTTTTATATATATTTCATTTCACATCCCAAAAACTTTTTTCATTTAGTGAAGATATAAATACACCCATTGTACGGAAAATTTGTTCCTGTACGAGACTATCAGCCCTGATTTTACCAATCCAATCAGACTTAAAATAGTGTTTGGTGTGGTTAAAATCGAATAAATTTTTGGTACTGCTGTACTAAAAATTCAGTGCATCCCACCAACAAAAATATTACATGTCAGCTAATTTTATTTTTTTTCTGTCAAATTTTTTTTCTCTCCTCTAATGTGTATTGCTCTCATTGATGGGATGCACTGAATTTTGGTACAGCAGTAGTACCAAAGATTTATTCGCTAAAACCGGACCCAACAGTGAACAATCGAAACTTCAAATTCAAATTTAACTAGTTAGTCGAAAATTGAAATCCATAAGAACAATTTTTGAAATGTTGCAAAAGAGATTTATTCTTCTACAAAATTGATTAATAATCAGTTCAATCAACTCTGACCGAATTTGAATCAACTTGCGATCTCAACACTAGATGAAAATAAAAAGCTGTGCTAAATTATTGATTACTTTGATTACCAAAAAAAAAAAGTATTCATTACAATATCATCATACCGAAATTTTATATTATTGAGACAACTTAATTGAAAAAACTAATCATGAATTAATCTTCGCAATATGCTCCATTTTATTTTCTGTTTATTCAATATTAGCCGTTAATCTCATTTACTTCTAATGATTTTTATGATTAATAAATTAGAATCATTAAATATAAATAAGATCATGACTGAAGAATTGCATTTAAGACTTATTATAATATGGATTTGGACCCATATCACAAGCTACACAGAGTCCAATAAGACAAAATTAAAAGGCTTAAAGTAAAAGATTTTACTCATACATAAACATGGTAGAGAATCTAGAGATGCGTACACGTAATTCTTCAATGAGAAAAATGTTTCTTGTTTTAAATAATATAATCTGCATTATTTTACTCTCATAAAGAAATGAGATCTACATATTTTTTTTTGTTCACTCTCTTTCCTTCATGATCTATCTCTTTCTATCACTTACAATAACACAACTTTATATCTTTTAAAATGACACATATTTTTTCTTTCTGCAATACCGTCAAGCAAGGTCCACAATATAAGACTGATGAACTTCTTTAATAGCCAATGGCTGAACGATAAAGACAAGCTTCCAGTTAAGCCCGAGCAACATAACCCATCAATAGGCATCTCGCATGGAAGATAGGTCATAGAAGCCACCTGAAACAACAAATCAGGAGAAATATTAATCATGTGTCATATTAAGGCGACATTATGAACCAACAAGCAAGTTATCTCGCATACTATAAAAAAAGAGACTTAATCTCAGGTATAATCTCCTTGTCCTTAATATTTTTAAACTCATCAATCAAATACTAATTTGAGTGTTGGAATGTTCTGTAAACACCCATCCCTCTTATTCCAGCTGAATCACACAACTACAACATTGTCATCCCGCTAATAATATCCTAGGCATAGATCCAATTGCATCCACACATAAGAACACTTATCTGGACAAGGCTCATTAGGCCCACACCTTACTATCTGATCAAATAATTCATTATTTCCTCTGACACTCTAAATTTTTTTGGCTCTTAGCAGATTGGAAGTTATATACTATATAGTATCAGCTATGTACTCATGGTGGTACATAGATGTGTCCCATGAAGGGTGAAGTATGTTGATATAGGGTGTGTCCATAGTGGTCTTGGTAGAGACCAAGCCACTAGTGAAGCTTCCCATGGTGCATAAGGGGGGGGGGGTGTGTGGTCTACCAATGGGCAGGGTGACAGCGTAGGTAGAAGATGGAGAAGAAGAAGCCTCTCTCTCCATGTGTGAGAGGGATATTTAGAGAGAAGAGTCCTCTCTTGCATGGGGGCTTGAGCTGGTCAGCCCATGAGCTGTCTCATCAAGCTGCTCCCTGTTAGTGGGGCAGCAGTGCAGGATGGGGAATGTCCCAGTGGTGAGCCTCTATGGCTTGCCATGGGTGCCCTCTAGAAGGTTCTAGATATGAGCTTTAAGCGATTGGGCCCATCTGGTGGGCCTAAGTGAGTAGTATCTAGAACAGGAGCCCCCAAGCTTGGTAGCTTGAAGGAGTCAAGGTGCCAAGATATATGGCAGCTTAGGATGGATACCCATAGTGTGTAGTGTTCTAAGCAGGATATAAAGTAACTGATCGATAATACGTCGGCCTTCTGGCGTTGTTTATTTGTTGTCGTCGAGTATGAATTGTCTGATTGGCGATGCTTGAGTACTTCAAGAGAATCTTCTATTATGGCTTGCAATTGTGCTGAACTTGTTGTCTTCGAAGGTGCGTCTTGTTATTGAGGAAGGTCTTCAAATGTTGTTGAAGTAGTAATAATTTAATTGTAAGAATAAGCTGGCGAGCCCATGATGAATCAAGTATCCTGTAGATTTAAACAGCTGCAATAAAGATGCCTTGAGCGTCTGATAATAATCAAATAATGTTGTAGATGAAAGCTTGAAGATCCTGATGATAAATATATATGCTCTGTTCTTCAGCAATAAAACTCGGTGATATGAATGTATGATAAATAATGCCCAGTGACTTGGGTCTTTGATGTCTAGTTGCTCAGATATGTTGCTCAATGATCATGTTTAATAACTGAAATAAAGATGTCTTGACCGTCTGATAAAATAATGTTGTAGATGAGATCTTCTGGAGAGGATAATTGTTCCAAGAGAGAGAGTCCGTTCTTTAGAAGAATGGAAATTTATTGTTGAAATAATGTCTTGACCGTCTCATATCACCAACGAGTTTTATTGCTGAAGAATGGAAATTTCTGAATCAGGAAGTATATATATCATGAGAATCTTCATCACCCTCTATTTTGGAACACATCATCCTCTTCAAAAGATCTCATGTACTACTTTATTTTCTCACGAAGCTCGGATCTGCAATCTTGTCGACTTTATTTTATCAGATCATCAAGATATTCTTATTCCAGTTGTCAACATCTCCAGGCTACTTGATTCAACATGAGCTCGCCAGCTTACTCTTACAATTAAATTATATATGATTCAACAACATTTGAAGACCTTCCTCAATAACAAGGTGCATCTTTGAAGACAACAAAGTTCAACACAATTGCAAGTCATAATAGAAGATTCTATTGAAGCTCTCAAGCATCGCCAACCCGACAATTCATAATCGATGACAACAAATAAACAAGACATGAAGGCCGACGTAATACCGATCGGTTACATTGTATCCCGCTCGGAACACTACACACTGCGGGTAACTGGCCTAAGCTGCCATACATCTTGGCACCCTTGCTTCGCAAAGCTATCAAGCTGGGGGGCTTATGTTCCGAATCCACACCTCAGGCCCACCAGTTGGGTCCAATCTCTTAAGCCCACATCTAGAACCTTCTAGAGGGCACCCATGGCAAGCCATAGAGGCTCATCACTGGGACATTCCCCTTCCTGCACAGCTGCCCCTGTACACTGACAGGAGCAGCATGTCTTGTCAAAAGACAAAGACATGGCTTAGGACAGCTCATAGAGGACCAGCTTAAGCCCCCAGGCGAGAGAAGAGACTCCTCTCTAAATACCCCTCTCACACATGGAGAGGGAATCTTCTTCCCCACAGACGGCGCCAATGTACTCATGATGGTACATAGATGTGTCCCATGAAAGGTGAAGTATGTTGATATAAGGGGTGTCCATAGTGGTCATGGTAGAGACCAAGCCACTAGTGAAGCTTCCCATGGTGCATAAGGAGGTGTGTGTGTGCTCTACCAATGGGCAGAGTGACAGCGTAGGTAGAAGATGGAGAAGAAGAAGCCCCTCTCTTCATGTGTGAGAGGGGTATTTAGAGAGGAGAGTCCTTTCTTGCATGGGGGCTTGAGTTGGTCAGCCCATGAGCTGTCTCATCAAGCTGCTCCCTGTCAGTGGGGCAGCAGTGCAGGATGGGAAATATCCCAATGGTGAGCCTCTATGGCTTGCCATGGGTGCCCTCTAGAAGGTTCTAGATATGGGCTTTAAGCGATTGGGTCCATCTGGTGGGCCTAAGTGAGTAGTATCCAGAACAAGATACTTGTTTCATTGTCGTATGATTGAGTCACAACACTTTGAAAATACTCGATTGCTAGTTTGTTTACCCATGTTTAACTATGATTTAAGTGAACTGCCAAGAGATTAAAACTTGTGTAGCCAAAAGAACTGATAAGTTTTCAAAAAAACTAATACTTCTGACAAAGGATCTGTAACGCTCGACCGCTTCAAGAATCAACGACTATCCCCACATACTTACACGAGACTTTTCAGTGTGCTTTTTCCTCACTCGCACACTTCCCGGAAAAACAGTGGTATCAAAGTAGGGCCTCTCTTCCAGTACGGTGTGGTTCGAGGACGAACCAGGCGGAAGCTGGTGTGCATGTAACATTCGGGCGCTGACGAGGGCGGGGAGTGATCGCCGGTGCGAAAGGGCATGGACAAGGAGCGACTCCTGACAGGCTTCCAGCGGGGGGTTACATGCATGAATGAATCGAATCGACACCCGAAAGAGAGGGATTCCAAAGACTATGCAGGTATGAGACTGCACAGTTTGATATAGCTTATAAGAATTAATTGGTACTACCTATACTAACAAGATGCATCTGTTTTTCGGTAGCCTGGAACAGAAGAACTCCATAGTTAAGCGTGCTTGACTTGGAGCAATTCTGGGATGGGTGACCTCCTGGGAAAACAAGTGTGCGAGTGAGGAAAAAGCACACTGAAAAGTATCGTGTTAGTGTGTGGGGATAGTCATTGATTCTTGAAGCGGTCGGGCGTTACAAGTGGTATCAGAGCAGGGCCTCTCTTCCAGTACGGTGTGGTTCAAGGACGAACCAGGCGGAAGCTAGTGGGCATGTAACATCTCGGGCGCTGACGAGGGCGGGGAGTGATCGCTGGTGCGAAAGGGCATGGACAAAGAGCGGCTCCCGACAGGCTTCCAGTGGGGGGTTACATGCATGAATGAATCGAATAGACACCCGAAAGAGAGGGGTTTCAAAGACTGTGCAGGTATGAGAATACACAGTTTGGGATAACTTATAAGAATTAATTGGTACTACCTATACTAACAAGATGCATCTGCTTTTCGGTAGCCCAAAACAGAAGAACTCCATAGTTAAGCGTGCTTGACTTGGAGCAATTCTGGGATAGGTGACCTCCTGGGAAGTTTTCCCAAGAAGTGTGCGAGTGAGGAAAAAGCACACTGAAAAGTTTCGTGTTAGTGTATGCAGATAGTCATTGATTCTTGAAGCGGTCGGGCGTTACAAGATTACCTAAGTGAAATTCCTCACCTAATTGGTTCGCTTTTAAAGTGCGCAAGGTCACTAATTTTTACTACTCATCTTAATTACTTAAAAAAATTAAATATCTTTTAAAATATTAAAACATTAAATACTTATATTTTTCATTTAATAGTTTTATTTTTGAATTATTAGCATGCGTGACATATCAGATGCAGAATTAGGGGAAGGGGCTGAGGGTGGTGGCCGTGCCCCCAAAAATTTGAAGAAAAAAAATTATATATATAAAAAAGTGCTTAATGAATTGTTACCGTAATGAGATCAAGTACAAGAACTATTGTACAGTTTTAATTAAAAAAGAGTGTGGGGTTAAAATGATGCTAAATTGTTATATACTATCATCAGTTGTTTTGCGATTGCGATATAAAAGATGGACTATGTGGGAGGCCTCATTTATTAGGGATGGTGGTGTTGGTGGGAATTGCACATGAAAGCTTATAAGGGATAGGTTTATACTTTATTAGTCAACTCTCACTTTTCATTTTGATTCTTCTTCTATATCTTTCACTTTTCAATTAAACAAAATATATTGAATGGAGGCAATATAATAAAAGTTGAAGTTTTTTTTTTCTTATTTATATATTTTAATGTATTGGGAGAGATTTTTAATGATTTATATTATTCTCTAACAAATTTTTCCATTTTACTTCCAAACAGTGGCGGAGCCACATATAACCTAGGTGTAGCCTCGGCCCAAGCTAAATTTTAACAAATTGTTCTTATTATATATAATTATATAATTAACTATAATTTGGCCTAAGTTAAAATTATAATTTGACCAGGGCTACAATTTATAATTTGGCCCTATCTAAAAATTAAAATATTTTTGGGTAAAGATTTGGGTAAGTTATATTAGGTTATGTTTTCAATTTTCACTTATATAAAAAAATAAAATATCTAATAAAATTATAACTCTTCTTAGTGTTGTTTGCTCAGTGCTTTGTATTTAATATAATTTAAATATATTATAATATGAACTAATTAAAATTAAAAAAAAATACATATAATTTTTTTGACCCGAGCTCAAATTAGAATCCGGCTCCCTCAGTGCTTCCAAACATCGATGGCGCCATCTCAACCACTTAATATTAAGTCTCCCTGGTTTAACTTTACAAAAGCCAGAGAAATAATAGAATCACGATGGCAACATGCAGAATAAGCTAGTATCAGCTGTGACAATACTAGAGTAGTGGAACTGGAAAGTGAGGGTCTCTTTGATTGTGTTCTGGTTTTTTTGTTCTTAAAATTGTTTTGTAAAATAGTTATGGAAACAGTTGTTTTCTATATGTTTTACTTTTTGAAAATTAAAAACCAAAACAGAAAACAAAAACAACTCATACATATTCTCTAAATTTGATTTTAAAAACAAAAAAATAGTTATAGTTTTCAAAACATTTTTTACAAAACAGGTCTTACCAAAAGAATTTTTTAATTTTTTTGTTCTAAAAACTAAAAAACTGTTTTGCAAAACAGAAATCAAAGAGAGCCTGAGATACTAGCTACCTATACTCTAAAAGGGAAGCAGAAAACAAAACAAAAAAAAACCGGTGTGGGGGGGGGGGAAGCAATATATCCAACCGAGTATTATCTTAAGCACATCTGAATGAACCAAAATTTATATCACGAACTGTTGCCAGTTGGGCCTGGGTAGCTTATAAGTAGATCCATCACCAATGGGTTAAAACACTAATATAACAAATGCGTCCACGTCAAGTTTCAATCCACAAAACCTTGAAATAATAAGCTTATGGCCTTCCATTTACGTGGTCTTTACTTAGTCATTACCGAACAATGTGGAATTCGATTACGCATACAACAACTGTAAATCGAGCTAATATACCTATGTTGAATGATAACCCCAACCCCTCAAACATTCGAAATTCATAAACATTCTCAGGACTGCCCGTACAAAAATGCAACATTTTATTGTAACATGAACTTGTACAATTTGCAATCCAAAAGAAGATATTGTTTCATAAAAAAATGTTGAAATATTCAGTGTGACTAGTAGTGAAGTCCACGTCGATTAAATATAAACTAAGTGAGGATGAAAGACTTATAGAGATACAGCCTTAAGATTTTGGTTTTAAATGTAATGTCAGTCAACTTACTATGATTTGTCATTTGAACCATTAATAGATGTAGTCTGTTCCAGAGAATTATTAAACGGATACCAGTAAAAGATGAGGAAGAGGTTCTTTTAGCTCATCAACTCTGTACTTGGGATTAAACATTTTGTCTTAGATCGGATTTAGAACTTGCCTTGTCTTAAAATCACCGCATTTTAACAAATTCATATTCAACCCTCTCTAGCTGCTTGATCAGTTGCACTTGAATAAGGAAGATACGATATTTTTGCATTGACACAGAAAAGTAAAAGCAAATTAAGAGATCTCTGATAAAAACCATTTATGAGACCAACTTGAGCTTTTAGATGAGTTGTATGGCTCACAGTTTGATCCTCTCAACGATCTCACTTTTTAGTGAAATTTAGTCAGCACAAAATAAAATAAAAAAATTGACATGTACAATATCCATAAAGCTCAAAATGCTATTGAATCTGAAAGGATATGTTAAAAGAAATATAATATAAAATTATTGATGAGCTACCACTTAATAGTTCAGATGTTGGGTTGAATTGTTTACATGCACCCTTTAAGCTCAAAACTCTCGTGTGAAGGGTGGATCGCTAATTTAATTTTATGTATCTTTGCATGAGATATTTTTGGAAGTGAGTGCATGATTACACTGCTTCATGTGAGGATTCAAAATTTGAGCTAAAATCCTCTTATATCCTGACCTGATCTGATCATAGGCTAAGTAATTTGCAGCATGAAGGCTTCGTATATTCTACTGCTCTTTCTCTATTTTCACGAATAATGATTGTCTATTTGCTACTTAGCAATCATGGGATTAGTAATAATGAAACCCAGGGTCCTATCACAATGGAAAACAAAGTAGTGAAGATACAAATGAATAGTATGTCTGTGGAAAAATTAATAGTATTACTTTATCTCAGAAGCTGAAAGTGAGGGATTCAAAATTTTCCCCATTTTGTGCATGAAATAAACAAGTTCTGACAAGGTTGGATTTCAAAAGTTCTTGTGTACAGGAAAAAAAGGTCTAGACTCTCCCAGGAAACTCCCTCTCAATACAGATACAAAAGGTCTTCTTGAAGTTTTCTTTGATATTGTAGCCTTTGGAGTGTACGATATTCTGTGTCTATCCAAGCCTCCCCCGTAGCTTTTGCATGACTTCATTTTCTTTCTGTAGGGTGTGTCTTTCTTAGGAAGATCTTCTATGCTCTGCACCCTTGCTAATGAAGTAAAAGACTGTGCCTTCCCTTGATAAAACATAGACAATCCTCTCCTGCATATGATAAAGTATTTATCACTCTAATTTAGTACACTTCCACAAAAGGAATTTGAATATAAGTTAAAAAGTCATGCAGGAAGTCTCTTACTTTAAAGGAAGATGGTTCATGAGCTCTGATAGTTCATATAAAGGGCTATTTGAATGTGATGATGAAGATGAGGTTGACAAAGAGGATGCATCCTCAGCCAACTCTGATGAAGAAGATGAACACACAGAGTTCATTGAATCTTCTGAGTTAGATCCAATGGATATTGAATCACAGACATCACGATTGAGATTGATATCTTCCTTAACAACCCAATTGATGTTCCCAGCTCCAGTTCCATCCATGATTCCTTTCACATTCATTTCTAGAAAAACTTGATTCGCCTTCTCGCCTGTTATGTGTCAAGAAGGAGGAAAATAAAAGGATAAGAAAGATGAATAAGATTTCCTCTCTGCTTTGTGAAATGGAATAGGCCTTCGTTGCGGAAGCTTATCTGCATATGAATTCCACAAATTTGATTACATATGATATCAACTGTGTGGAGCAATTATCTATAACAGAAAAAAAAAAAATTGTGTGTGATCTTTTATATAAGAATACCAATCAACTGGATATCATTGTTTGTTTTTATATAAAAATTATAATATTCTATCCTAAACTTTTTGTCCTTGTCAGATCACGTTATATGGTGTAAACTTAACACCATCTCTCACAAAATAAGGATAGAGGATAAGGACTAAATTTGAAGACATCCATATCCTGAGTCACCCTCTCCTTTTTAATTTTTGGGTGGTGATTCTGTGGTCCCCCCCATCTTACCAACTCTGCTTAATAAAGCCGTGACAGATCGGTATATTTCCACCTTTTTAATGCATCATTTATCACACCCATGTATAAATTTAAACGTACAAGTAAAATTAAAAATTAAAAAATGTTTACCAAAAAAAATGCAAAAGAGTGGGGTAAATCTCTTTATGTATGAAGTACATTTATAGAATGTTTCATGTCTAATGCAAGTCGAACATTTTGTATGGTGTGAAGTAAAAGCACTCCACCAAACATTTTTTCGGCCTCACCTTATTCTCCTTTTCTATCTTATCAACAACATACGAATTGTTTTATTTTAAAACTGCACTTGTAAATAGAAATGCTTTGACCAGTGGTGCAAACTATAGCACGATAAACATCACTTTTCCCACTTTTGTAGTCTCAAACAAAGCTCTGTTGAATTGACGAATTCTTCAAGTTTTTCTTTTTTTCTTTTTTTTTTTTTTTTTTTGGTGGTAGCTTATACTCATATGTTTCTTGCTTGCTTGACCCTCAAAATTCCTTTTACTCAGATTTCTTAGCAAACTATTCAACCCATGTGTTGCACGACCAACAAAACTCGCGGACTATATTGGCATATTCCAATTGGTTGAGCGTTTTCCTGATCCCAAAATATTAATTTTGCATTTTTGCATATTAATTACGAAAAAACATTTTCTAGTAAAATTATCTTCAGCAACTCAAAATTAAGTTATTTTTATAATTAATAAAGAATATTGTATTTATTATTTTATTAGATAAATTTTATCAAAATGACCTTTATTTATTTCTCAATCTTCAAAAAGTCATAGTTTTGGAAATATTAGAAATAAATTTATCACCAAAGAAACGATGAGCCCATTAATTATTGTTGAACATATAAAAGAATAAAAAGTATTTAGAATCCTGGTTTATATTTATGTATCACGAAAAGAATCTTTTTGTTAATTGCCAGATCTGTTATTATATTTAATAATTATAATATATTTTAAAGAGGGAATTTTCTATTTAGAATGAGCTGGATTGGTACGAGAAGGATCAGAAAAGAGGATAAGAAGGTTGACTTAGGTTTAAGTCATGATATGGTGGTATGTGAATGGGAATCAAACTGCCCCCACACGCTAATATTGTATTGGATTGGCGCTGGCGCTGGCAACGGGATTTAATTGTGAAAAAAAAATGATGCAATTGCATAATCTTATCTGTGGCCACCGCCGATTGGATTAAGACCCTTTTCTCATTTTAATCCAATGGTCACAGAGTTTCCACTATCAAACAACAATTGTGTAAATGGATGAACCCTCGTCACTTGTCACAGTCAGAGCTGTACATGGGTCAGGTCGGGTCAGGTTTTTGTCCGACTCGACCCAATTTAGTTTTTATAGGTCAGATATTTTGATCCGATCCACTTTAATTTGATCCAAGTCAGGTCTGACTTGGTTTGGATTTTGTTGAACTAGTTCAGAACCGAGTCAGATTTGACCTGACTTGATTTTTGAAGTGGGTCTGACTTGGTTTCTGAAATGAGTCAAATCTGACATAACCTGTTTTTGACTTGGTTTTCCTCACAAAATTTCGTCGAAATTTTTACGTTGCAAACGACGAAAATTTCGTCACAAAATTATTTTTTCGTCAGAATATTTTTTATCGAAAAGCGACGAAATTTTTTCTCTAATGAAAACTTTTACAAAAATAAATTTTCTATCGAAATTTAATTTCCGTCAAAAGTTTTGACGAAAATGATTTCTTCCATCAAGTGTTTTAAACAGAAAAAGAATTCTGTCAAAAATTTTGACGGAATATTTTTCGTTCAAAATTTCGATGGGAATGTGTTCTGACGAAAATTATTTCGAGGGAAATGTTTCATCCGAAACTTTCGACGAAATTTAGATTCTCTAAAGAATTTTAACAGAATATTTTTTCGTCAAAATTTTTTATCGAAATATTTTTTATCAAATTTTTACGAATTTTTTTACAGAAATGTGTTCCGTTGAAAATTTTGATGAAAATATATTTTATCAAAAAACTTGACGAAAATATTTAGTTGAAAATTATCAATGGAAATGTGTTTCGCTAAAAATTTCGATGAATTTTTTTTTTTGTCAAACAGTTTAACGAAATTTGAAATCTGTAAAGAATTTGATGAAATTTTTTTCCGTCAAATTTTTTTGATGGAAATGTGTTTCGTCGAAATTTTCGATGGAAATTGTTTTGAGGGAAATGTTTCATTCGAAACTTTCGACGAAATTTAGATTCTGTAAAGAATTTTGACAGAATATGTTTCCGTCAAAAATTTTTATCGAAATATTTTTTGTCAAAAATTTTTACGAAATTTTTTTACAGAAATGTGTTCCGTTGAAAATTTTGATGAAAATATATTTTATCAAAAAACTTGACGAAAATATTTAGTTGAAAATTATCAATGGAAATGTGTTTCGCTAAAAATTTCGACGAATTTTTTTTTTTGTCAAACAGTTTAACGAAATTTGAAATCTGTAAAGAATTTGATGAAATTTTTTTCCGTCAAATTTTTTTGATGGAAATGTGTTTCGTCGAAATTTTCGATGGAAATTGTTTTGAGGGAAATGTTTCATTCGAAACTTTCGACGAAATTTAGATTCTGTAAAGAATTTTGACAGAATATTTTTCCGTCAAAATTTTTTATCGAAATATTTTTTGTCAAAAATTTTTACGAAATTTTTTTACAGAAATGTGTTCCGTTGAAAATTTTGATGAAAATATTTTTTATCAAAAAACTTGATGAAAAATATTTAGTCGAAAATTTTCGATAGAAATGTGTTTCGCTAAAATTTTCGACGAAATTTTTTTTTTGTCAAAAAGTTTAATGAAAATATTTTCGTCGTAAACTTTCGTCGAAATTTAAAATCTGTAAAAAAATTTGAGGATATATTTTTTCGTCAAAAAATTTAGATGGAAATGTGTTTTGTCAAAATTTTGGATGAATATAATTTTTTGTGATATATTTTGACGCAATTTAGATTCCGTAAAAAAATTTGACAAAAAAAATATTCCGTCAAATTTTTTTACAGAAATATTTTTAGTCACAAATAACGATGAAAATATTTTTCGTCAAAAAATTTTGCGAAATTTTTTAATGAAAATATTTTTCGTAAAAAAATTTGACGTAATTGTTTTACGTTAAAACTTTTTTTTAATGTAATTGTGATTTTTTTTTTTTTTTCACATAATGGGTATGTGTCAAGTTTTGAGTTAATGGGTCAATATTAAAACAAGTCAAGTCTAAAATTGACCCAAATAAAAGTGGGTCAGTATTTAAACCAGTTCAAAAAATATAGATATTTATGAGTCAAATCAAGATCAAATCAAGGGTTCGACAACTGAAACATTTTTTTTCACACCGCTGGTCACACTTGAAACAATCCCTCCTCGTTCCCTTGACTCCCAAAACCGCCCACGTAAAGCAGACATGACAATACTTAAAACTGTGTATATACATTATATAATGCCTTCACCTGGAATTTGCTTTCAATCTACAGTGATCTATACTTTTCTTTATTCATTATTTATAGGTTAGGAAGTACGCCTTTTTTTTTTTTTTTTTTTTTTCCGGAATGTGTTTATGGATATGATTCCCAACATATATCTTTGGAGTAGCAACCTTTGAACGGGTCAATAAGTTGGGCTTCTAATTCTGTCGACCTACCAATGCTCACCCAATAGACTTGAAATCCAATCCTATTTCATCAGGTCAACATACTACTAATTGTCTCATATTTGAAGTTTGTTCAACTCAATTCGATTCACACAATATTTTTAAATTTATTTTTCGAAAAATTAATAAATAATAATAAAACTTCTTCTCTTAAATTAAAACCTCTATCGATTTTATCATTTATGTTTTTTTACAAATATCTATATAAACACAAAATGAAATAGGTTCTGTAATTTGCTCACCAATATTTTCATAATACTTTTTTTTCTCAAAATAATAAGCTAAATCTCAAGCTCAAAATACATAATTTAAATAGTCTTAAATTTATTCAAATATCTAAAGTATGTCTTAAATTTATTCAAATATCTAAATATAAATCCTTAGGGGGCGTTTGGTGAAGGAGAAATTTTTTTTAGCCGGGAATCTCAATTTTTAAAAATATGATTTTTACATTCAGTTTATGATAATATTCGTAAATTTAAAATTTAGAAAAATTCAGTTTCATGAGATTCTTGAAGAATCCCGCGTATCAAACGCCCCCTCACTATTTTATAGGTATGCTGGAAATGCATAGCAACTAATGGTAGTGTATATGGAATTGTCTAGCTTAACGCATGTTTGATCCAAGTTGCCATCTGCAATTGTTCTAGCTACCTAAATTCAATAATAGAAGCGATGATCTGATCATCATGTGTTAGGTTGATGTCTCGGGGTCACCTCTCCTAAATAGACATATGCCACTGAGCATAATTGAATTGAATTTGGCCCAAAACAGACAACAGAGAAAACGCATCTTTGGTCTTCCGACACACGAAAGACATCACAGTTGAGAACGTCTTTGCAATTGCAGTTAAAAAACTCAAATTTTATGGTAAAAAAACCTTATTGATGTTCGTGACAGTATACTGCTTTGAAATCTAATCAAATGCGGTTAATTATTACTCCGCAGAAAAGGGCTTTGCAAATACAGTAAGCTAATTCAACCTAACCCCATCTCCTTCTAATCTTGACAAACTTGCAAACGTACATGTTTAAATTAGTTTATTTTGTATTAGACAAAATTTGCGGTTAAAAATTTTCTCTTAAATATTTTAATTATAATTTTTTAAACAATTACTTAAAGATATATTAAACGTTGTAATCAAAATGGAGCGG